TAGCAGTAGCAGTAGTAGTAGTAGTAGTAGTAGTAGTAGCAGTAGTAGTAGTAGTAGTAGGAGTAGTAGTAGTAGCAGTTATAGTAGCAGCGTTTGTAGTAGGAGTAGTAGTAGTAGTAGTAGTAGTAATAGTAGTAGCAGTAGTAGTAGCAGTAGTAGTAGCAGTCGTAGTAGTAGTAGTAGTAGTAATAGTAGTAGTAGTAGTCGTCGTATTATTATTATTATTATTCTTAGTAGTAGTAGTAGTAGTAGTAGTAGTAGTAGTAGTAGTAGTAGTAGTAGTAGTAGTAGTAGTTTTTGTTGTCGTAGTAGCAGTAGCAGTAGTAGTAGTAGTAGTAGTAGTAGTAGTAGTAGTAGTAGTAGTAGTAGTAGTAATAGTAGTAGGAGGAGGAGTAGTAGTAGTAGCAGTTATAGTAGCAGCGTTTGTAGTAGGAGTAGATGTATTAGTAGTTATCGTTGCTGTGGGTTTGGCGCAAGCGGATCCGCTTCGACGGGCCTCCGCTCTTTACATAATAATGCCGTGCTTTACTGTCCACGCAGCTCGCCCATGATTAAGGGTGATTCGCTCGGCGCGGGAGCGCAGAGTCGGCGCAGCTCCAGGGAGCCGGACATCGGCGTCCGCTCTACCTTGAGCGAGTCGTGCAAGGTGTCCAGGCGCAGCTCCAGAGAGCTGGAGGAGGCGAGCCTGTTGAACGAGACCCGAGAGCCCGGCAATGAATTGTCATACGGCTCGGCGCTGTCGTGGAAGAGTCTCGAGTCCAGGCGGCACACGACGCACAATGAGGACTACCTGAGGTCTTTGGCCGCGACGTGGACCCCCGAGTCGAGCCGCGGGACTGCCGGCTTCTGGGTGGTCGTCATCTCTGCGTTTGCGAACATCGGCCCCGTGGGGGTGCTGGTGGTGAGCCGCCCCGCCGGCGGCATCGTGGCCTCGCTGCTGTTCTTCCTGGTGTTCGGCCTGCTCAGCTTCTTCGGCGCCTCCCTCGTCGGTGGCGCCATGCAGCTGTCGGGCTGCAACACGCTGGCGGAGATCTGGCGGACGACCATTGGGCAACGCACGGCCTGGATCCCCTCGGTGTGCACCGCGCTGACTTGTTTCAGCATCTGCATAGGCTACGCGGGCTTGTCGGGGCACTTGCTCGCCGACGCCCTGAGTATGAACCCGTTCCCGCAGCTCTTCTCGTCGTCGGAGAATTATTGGGTGGTGTTGATAGCGGTATTCCCTCTCTCTTTCCTGGTCATGCTGAAGGACGTATCCCAGATGTGGTACAGTACCGTAATCGTCGGTACGTCTACACTCTTCTTTGTTGCGGTTGTGGTAGTGCGTTTTATGGACGCCAGTTACGAGCCAGACAACGAGTTCATTGACAAGCACCAGTGGATAGACCGCGTTCACAGCAAGTGGCAAAATCTATACTGCTATCACGAGCACGGAGTGCAGCTCCTGAGCATCCAGTCCGTCCTGTTCCTCATGCACTTCAACGCGGCCAAGTACTTCAGGGAGCTGAGCGGGCCACAGAAGCACCTTTTCTCCGCAGGGGTGGGCCTGGCAATGGGCATGGGCTTCCTTGCGGTGGCCGCCACCATGATCATGCAACCGCTTTGCGCATTCCGCCAGTCCATCCTGTAACATGGTTGCTATTGGTCGGTGTGCTCGCGGGGACTGGGGAGCTGTTGCGATGTGTTTCCCCCCCCCCGAGCTGCTGTGTGAAGCTCGCGTGATGGGAAGCAGTCGCTGGGTAGGCCAGGGGCGAGCCTCGACGGAACACGTCCCGACCCCACGATTTCCAGAGCATGAGACGATAAGAGTATCCAGAGGCTGATGCCATGCTTACCTACTCCCTTCGTGGACAGTCGGACCATCTTGAGGGTTGTTTGGGGCGCCTGGGTGTTATCAGGGCAGTTCGTGAGGACGATTCAGTTTTTTTGGCTGTGGTATAGTTTTCCCAAGCCGATGTGTGCAGCTGCGGTGGGGGGAGAATAGCCGCTGGGCAGATCGAGGGCAAAGCCTCGCGGAACACGTGACCACCCAACATTCGCAATGTCAGCCCGTCCTAAGGCTGCTGGGAGCATCTTGGAGGACTCTTTTTGGGGCCTCTCTGGGCCTCTGGTATCACCTTGGGAGCCTCTCAGGTGCTTGTTGGCGCGTCTCGGGGGCCTGTCACGGACCATGTTTGATCCATATGGAGGTCTGTTGGTTCCGTCTTGGGGCCATCCTTGGGCCTGCCACCGATTGGCCCTCACTCTTACAACTTCTTGCAGCCTGTCTGGGGCTCTCTTGTGGAGCATTCTGGGTCTGTTCGGGGTTTTTCAGGTTCTCTTGTGCCCACCTCGGGGCCTCAGAAACCAAAAGGAACCCGCGGCGGCGACACGGCCTGCATCAGTGACACATGTTGCTTTTCGCAGTGACCTTGGCCATCTCGGAAGCTTTCGATGGGGGGCTCCATGGGGTCTTGGGGCCTTTGGGGGGTTTCTTGGGGCGTCTTCGCGACCTTTCGGAGCGTATGGGGCGCGTTTTGAGAGCATCCGGGGGCGGCTTGGGTGCCCCTCGGCGCATCTTGAGTGCGTCTTGGGGCCGTCTGTGGTGCGCCAGCGTGGATTCATCGTTTTTCTTGTCAGGGGTTTTGTCTTCGAGAGCGGGGACTCGTTCTTTTTTGACTCGCCCGAGGGCTCCAGAGGCGGGCAACCCGAAGCACCTTGCAGTCGTGGCGGAAGGGAAGCAGGTAATGTCCCAAGGCTGTCGGGGTATGGGCACACTAAATTTCCCTGTGAACTGGGGCTGTGGTAGTTGGGGTGCATGCCAGATCGATTTTTCCATATCGAATGTAACATGCTACGGCTATGCGATGCTTGTTGGAGGCTCTTGATGGGCTTCCTGGAAGCTCCTTAGCTGTTTCTCGGAGGCTCCTGAGGGGTTCCTTGGAGGCTCCTTAGAGGCTTCTTGGAGGATCCTTGAATGCTTCCTGGGGCCCATGGGAGGGCTCTGAAATGCTTCTTGGAGGATCCTCAAAGGGTTTGGGGAGGCTCCCGAGAGGCGTTTGGGAAGCTCCCGCGAAGCTTTTGGGAGGCTCCTGAGAGGCTTTGGGGAGGCTCCCGAGAGGCTTTTGGGAGGCTCCTGAGAGGCTTCTGGCAGTCCCGAAAGGCGTTCGAGTTCTTCGGGTTTCTCAAGAAGCTCCCCAGTAGTCCGAGGGTTTCCTCAGGATTCCTCCGCATTTTGTGAGCCAGCGTGGGCCCTAAACGGTCATGTAATTGTGCTGCGGACGTGTGAGCTATCGTCACGTGGTGCAAGCTATGTGGTGCAAGATGTGTTGTGTAGTATACTTGGTGCAAGCTCGAAGCGGGAGGGAACGCGGCAACGGGCGGCAACGTGGCGAAACCTCGCCAGACTCACCCAGCGCACGAGGCGGGAACGAGATGGCAACATGGCGAAATGGCGCCAGACACATCCAGCGCGCGAGGCGGCAACGAGGCGTCAGCGAGGCAGCAGTGGGCGGCAACGTGGCGAAACGTCGCCAGACCCACCCAGCGCACGAAGCGGCAACGAATCGGCAACTGACGGCAACGTGGCGAAACCTTGCTGAACCCACCCAGCGCAAGAGGCGGCAACGAGGCGGCAACGAGGCGGCAACGAGGCGGCAACGAGGCGGCAGCGGGCGGCAGCGTGGCGAAGTGTCGCTGGACCCACCAGGCGCTCATGGCGGCAACGAGGTGGCAACTGGCAGCAACGTGGCGAAGCGTCGCCAGATCCACTCAGCTTACGAGGCGGCAACGAGGCGGCAACGCGGCGGCAACGTGGTTAAGCGTCGCCGGATCCACCCAGCGCACGAGGCGGCAACGAGGCGGCAGCGGGCGGCAGCGTGGCGAAGCGTCGCTGGACCCACCCAGCGCACGAGGCGGCAACAAGGCGGCAGCGGGCGGCAACGATACGAAAAGTCGCCAGACCCACCCAGCGCACGAGGCAGCAACGAGGCGGCAATGTGGTGGTGGCATCATGGCGAAGTCTCGCCAGATCCACCGAGCGCGCGAGGCGGCAATGAGTCGGCAACGAGGCGGCAGCGTGGCGAAACGTCGCTGGACCCACCCAGTGCACGAGGCGGCAACGAGGCGGCAACTGGCGGCAACGTGGCGGAACCTCGCCGCACGCACTCAGCGCACGAGGCGGCAACGAGGCGGCAACGAGGCGGCAGCGAGCGGCAACGGTGCGAAACGGCGCCAGACCCACCCACCGCACGAGGTGACAGGGAGTCGGCAATTGGCGGCAACATGGCGAAACCTCGCCGCACGCACCCAGCTGACGAGGCGGCAGCGAGGCGGCAACGGGCGGCAACGTGACGAAAAGCAGCCGGATCCATCCATGGCACAGAGCGGCAACGAGGTCGCAACGAGGCGGCAGCGGTCGGCAACATGGCGAAACGGCGCCGGACTTGCCCAGCGCATGAGGCGGCAGCGAGGCGGCAGCGTGGCGAAACCTCTCCAGACCCACCCTGCGCACGAGGCAGCAGTGAGGCGGCGTCGGGCGGCAACGTGGCGAAGCTTCGCTGGACCCACCCAGCTTACGAGGCGGCGAGGGGCGGCAACGTGGAACCTCGCTGGGCCCACCCAGCGCAAGAGGCGTCAGCGAGGTGGCAACGAGGCGGCAGCGGGCGGTAACATCGCGAAACTGCGCTGGTCCCATCCAATGCTTCAGAGACGCAATGAAGAACTCGTAAGTGCAAACATCAATTGGAGCATGAGAGTTCACAAGCAGTCGGTAGGATCCATTAACATGTTCCAGAGCTCTTCATGTATCTTCAGGATCCCTCAGGGGTCTTCAGGGCTCTTCATGGCTCAAAAGTAACCCGAAGGCTTTCTAATTATGTAATCATCTGGATTATTTTGGATTTCACTGGATCCTTTACATTTCCCCAGGATTCTCATGAATCCTCAGGGTTTTTCTGAATCCCTAAGGGCCCTCATAATTTTCAGGGTTCCACGACCTTTCCAACCCCTGGACGCCTCACCACCTCCCCGCGACATCCTACCCGATGCGCCGCCCGACGCCCCACCCGACGCCTTCCCCGACGCCCTACTCGACGCCCCACCCGACGCCCCACGATTTTCCGAACCTCCCCAACCGCCCCCTTCTACAGCCTGCTCCGTTCAGCAGCGGAAGAAGATGGCGCGACGTTGCAACGATCCGAACCAAGCTGCACGCAGTGCGGCGTACCTGTCCCTCCTCTCCAAGGTCACGATCTGCATGAACGAGATCCCGCTTGATGCCATCCTGAAGCGATTAGACGAGGCGGTTCGCGACCGGCAAGCTCTCGGCGCTGAGCTACTGGTTGCTGGTCAACGCGCGCTGACGGGAGTGGCCTTTCGACAAGGGGTTGCGTACGGGATGGCGGCCCAGTCGATTCGCACGAGGCTGCCATAAACATCTTCCTTGTCCTCCGTCCTCCGCCCCCCGCCCCCCGCTCCCCGCCCTCCTCCGTCCCGCCGCCCCCCGACTTGCTCTCCTCGCTGCCCGTGGCGCTCGGTGGCTGCATGCTGGTGACGACCCTGCGCTATCGCCGTGCTGAGGCATGGCCGTCCGCTGGGGCCGCACTGGATCATCTACGTCACGGCGGGCTTGCTGGAGCGGTGACCGGCTGTTGTATCGTTGTGCCGTCCGCGAGCTCAGCTGGGTCGCTCCTTGGTGCCTCGGTCGGCTTCTTCTTGAGCTTGTTGGCCTGTTCTTCATTGCTATCACATTTATCTTCCGTCTATGGCTGATCGCAACGCCCTTCGACTTCTTGTTCAGGATGGCTCGAGCTGGTGTGCGGCCTCGTTGTCGTGTCGTGTGTCAGGTGTCGTTCATCGGCGATCGCTCATGGCACGGGTCCGTTTGCTTCGCTCCCTTCTTTGTGGTGGGTTGCTGCTCTGACACGGAACCCGTCATTCTGGCAAAGGGCTGGGGGTGGTCATCAGAGGGTCCCCTTCTCACCGCGGTCGTGCTCTCGGCCGACGGCGCGCGGGAGTCGCAGTGCGTGGTCCCCTTCATAGGTGTGCCTGTGGTGTTGGAGCTTTTCGTGTGGGGGATCTCTGAATCGTCGGCTTCGCTTTTAATGCCTGCGTCGTCCTAGAGTGTACTGAGTGTGCCAGGCGCCGCGGTCTGGACGGGGCTGGGGGATCTGCGTTGCTCTCGAGGGGGGCAGGATTCGTCCGCCCTGCTGGGCGGGACAGCAGTGGCAGGGGAGTGGAGCAGACCGCATCGCGCGCCGCACCTTCGTTTCAAGTTTTCCACGCTTAGGGGCGAAACCTGCGAGGGCTGTCAGCAGCGGAGTCCGGAACAAAAAACAGCTAGCCTGGCGACTGACGCAACCATATGCAGCTGTGAGTACCGCATCTGTGAATATCGTCTTCGGTGGAGCTTCCTATGGGGACACGAACCGCGTGAGGGGTGTGCCGACATGGATTGGCGGCGGCACGCGGGCGCTGCCGGTGGGGTCTTCGGTGGAACTCCCTAAAAGGCCTTCGGCATGGCTCCCTCTGTCCGTGATCTGTTTGATGGGGGGTAGCGAGGAAAGCTTGACCGTCCGAGATTGTCCTTCTTTTTTTTGTTCCCTCTGCGCCCGCGCACTCCAAAACCCAAGGCTGCGGGTACAGCGCAGCGCGGAGTCCTCGCGACGCGCGCTGGTCGTCCCGAAAGGATCCCAGCGACGCGCGCGGGTCGTCCGCTGCGTGGAGCCACGAGAGCTAGCTTGCTGGCCGATTGCGGGCAAGTCTTTGGCTGCTGGGCAGAGCGACGACAGGCGAGCGAGGCGCTGGGCATAACGCAGCGTGGAGTTCCCGTGGCGCGCGCTGGTCGTTCCGAGAGGGCCCTAGCGACGCGCGCGGGTCGCCCGCGGCGTGGGGCCAAACCTCCAGACCGTCGAGGGAAGGCGAGGCTCGGGCGGGCCGCTCCCCTGGCCAGGCCTCGCGGGTAAACTCGGTGAAGCCTAGCTTCCTGGCGAGGGCCGTCGCCTCCCTCCTGTACCAGTTCGTGCGCGCCGCAACCTGTTCCAGCTGCTTCAGCAAACCCTTCGGCGGCCCTGCGAGGAAGAACTCGATCCGTGGCGCCCGCATGAACAGGAGGTCCTCGTGGCGCGTGGCGCGCGAGAACAGCGCGTAGAGCTCCAGCCACCAGTCGCAATCCTCCTTCTTGCCGTTCCCGATCTTGTGGCGGCCGCAGTCCAAGATCACGCCTGGGCGATGTCGTCCGAGGGAGCGGCGCGCCGAACAACCGACGGCCCAGGGTGATATTCTACAGGACCGAGAGAAGGTCTGGCTGCGGACCGCTCGCGCCCAGGCTATGGGGCCACGAAGCGTGTGAAATGTGGAGCTCCCTATGGGGCCACGAAGCGCTGTGCTGGGCGCAGGAACCGCATGCGGACTGCGCCACTGGGACCTTCGGTCGAACTCCCCATGGGGCCACGAAGCGCTGTGCTGGGGGCAGGAACTGCGTGCGAGTTCCGCCACTGGGGCATTCGGTGGAGCTCCGTATAGGGCCACGAAGCGCTGTGCTTCGCAAGCGGACTCCGCCAATCGGACCTTCGGTGGAGCCCCCGCTGGGGCAACCAAGCGCTGTACTGGGCGCAGGAACCGCGTGCGGACTACGCCACTGGGACCCACAGTAACCGCATGCGTATTGCGCCAGTGGGACCTTCGATGGAATTCACACTGGGGCCACGATGGTGACAATGATGGTGCTGATGAGAATATGCTGACGATGATGAGGATGATGATGCGAATGATGCTGATGATGATTGAGGAGGAGAGGAGGAACGCGGGGCGCTGCCTCTTCAAAGCGGGGACCCAACACAATATGGTTGGGAACAAATGATTGTCAGGGTTACTCAAGGTGCCTGAGGAATATTCAGTTCCCTTTTGGCTGTTTCAGGAATCCTCTTATTTGTTGTGCAGTCTTGATGAATCGTCCGGTTTTTTCATGATGCCTTCGGAGTCCTCGGGGTTCCGCAGAATCCACGAGGTTTCCTGGCTCTATTGGATTTGTAAGTGTTCCTCAGGGGTCCTGAGGACACCCTAGAGACTACTTCAATTGTCTTCAGGGCTCCCCAAGACCCCGCCGGATTCTTCAGGAGGCACCAAGGTTCATCAGGAATACGGACACTCCCAATGAAACAGTCAGGATTCGCATGGATTCCTCCGAGTTTCTAGCGCTCCTGAGCATTTCCTTGGAATCTGCTGGACTCACCATGGAGCATTCTGACTTTAAGGATCCCCACTGGTTATGTGGGAATTATTTTGTATACTTGCACGGCCACCCTTCGGGAGATAAAGAGGTTCTGGGGGGAGAAGAACCAACGTCGCACTCAATCGATCTGACTATCGATCCCACTATCGGTCGATCTGACGATCGATCTTACGATCGGTATCGCTATCGATCTCACGATTGGTATCACGATTTATTTCGCTAGCGATCTCACTAACGATCCCGCTACCGATCTTTCCGTCGATCTCGCTTTCGATCTCGGTATCGATATTATCACCGATCCCACTATCGGTCTCAATACCGATACCACTATCGATCCCATTGCCGGTGTTATTCGATCGATCTCACAATCGGTCACAGTATCCTTCTCACTATCGATTTCACGATCGATCTTGCTAGCGACTTCACGGTCGATCTTGCTATCGATTTCATTTAGATCGCCTTACCGGTTTCGCCATCGATCTCATTATCCATTATCGCTCTCACGATAGATCTCGCTATCGATTCGCCTATCGATCTCGCTATCGTTCTCACATTCGGTCTCATTATCGATTTCACTATCTGTCTCACTACGGGACACTGGTGGGACACCAATGCGGCATCGAGGGGACACCGACGGGACAGCGCCAGGACCCCGACAGGACACCGACAGGACACCGACAGGACACCGACGGGACACCAACGGGACACCTACGTACGGGACATCGACGGGACACCAACGGGACTCCGACGGAACAACGACGGGACACCGACGGGACACCGACGGGACACCGACGGGACACCGACGGGGCAGCAATGGGACAGCGACGGGACACCGACGGGACACCGATGGGACATCACGGCAGAACAGCCTGGCCACCCCCCGCCCACCGTCGGGGGTAGGCGGGCAGCGACGGGACACCACGGCGGGGCAACGTGGCCGCCGCCCGTCCACCGTGGAGGGAGGAGGGGCGGGCAGCGGCTCTGGGCCTGCCTTAGCCAAAGCGGAGTCATTCCTCTCGCCCACCTGCGCACGCAGCTTCGCCTCGCCCGCACATGCGACGCGAACCCGAAACCGAAGCCGATTTCCTGGTGGGGGGTTCTCCGTTCCACTTCGACCTCACGCCCCAACCTCCAATCGATTCTGGGTTTTTCAGGCTGTCTACGAAAGAGCGTTTTTTTTTCGCTACTGGCAAGCCCCCCCCCTCCCCTCAGTTCGAACCAGGGTTGGGGGGGGGGTAAAACAGTCTCCTACTTCGAACCAGGGGGTGGGGGAGAGAGGGAGCCCCCACCCGCCCCCCGGTTCAGACCAGGGGGGGGGAGGGGGGGAATCCATGACAGCTGGATCCAACCCCAGTGGGATTCTACCAGCTGGACGTAGCTCTTGTAACAATCAATTACATTTGAATCGGGCCCTAGTGGGATTGTGCTAAGGTGGATCGAACCCTAAGAGGGTCCATCGTAGGGTCCTATGAGAACTGTAACAATCCCATCGGATGTTTCTGTTAAAAGCTGGACCGCGCCAAATTAGGATTCTCTTAGAGCTGGATCCAGCCCTGGTAGCCGGACTCTTGAAGAGTTGGAGCAAGCCTCTTTAGGATCCCATTCGAGCTGGACCCTGCCGTGGTAGGATTTTGTCAGATTTTGATCTAGACATTGTAGAACTATGAGAGCTGGGTCGAGCCCAAGTCAGATTCCACTAGAGCTGGATCCAGCCCCCGTAGCAGGATTCTTTTAGAGTTGGAACGAGACTCTGTAGGATTCTATTTGAGCTGGATCCCGCCCTGGTAGGATTCTGTCAGAGCTAGACCTGGCCATCGTAGGATTCGATCAGAGCCGGCTCGAACCCGCCCCCCCCGGACTTCCGCCGGGGAGGGAAGGTTGTCTCCCCCCTCCCCCCTGGTCCCCAGAGTAGGGGGAGGGATTTCCTCCCCCCCACCCAGTTTCCGGGAAGGGGGGGGGGCCCAGTCAAGCGATGGTAGATTGCGCTCCCTCTGTTCTACGGAACACCTTGGGATTTTCAGTGACCCTCTGGGTGTCTCAGGATTCTTCAGGCACCGTCTGGGTTTCTCCGAATTCTTACGCTTCGCCCACGAGTCTTCATGATGCCAATGGGGCGTTGATGTTTTTTTTGTTGCGGCACGATTCCGTCGAATTCTCACACTTTCCAAAGGATGTTCTTTGATTGCGCAGCAGTCTTCAGGAAGGACGCCGCAGTATTTTTCAAGCTGTGCCAGGATTCCTCATGATTCCTCTGGGTTCTTCAGGGCTCTTCCGAATTCATTCGGCTTCTAGGGGGTCCTCGAGATCCCCCAGAGCCAGCCCAGCCCTAGGATCACACTCGGGCTGTAGCTAGACTCCCAGCCACCCCTAGTATGATCCCCTTCGGGTTGTAGCCACTCCTCGTATGGTACAATTCGGGTTGTAACCTTGCACGCCTCTCCTCTTGATGCCTCCTCGCCTGGGCAGCTGCGGGGGAATGGGGGGGGATACGAGGGTGAGAGAGGACGAGGAGGAGGAAAAGGTGGCGGAGGTGAGGATGGGATGGGGAGGGGGCGGAGTGGTGTGAGGATGGGAGGTGGAGGAGGAGGAGGAAGAGGAGGAGGAAGAGGAGGAGGCGACTGTCCTCCCGAATTTGACTATATGTACGTGTCATCTCCGATGTGATTTGTGGACTTTGGTATTTGTATCCTCCTCTCGTCTCCTCTCTTCCCGTTCCCGAGTCTGGAACGATCATGCATTTTGACTAGTATCGTAATCGTGCGTCTCCTCTGTGTGTGTTGATTTGAAAGGTTGACAGGTCCCTTGGGGACGGGAACGCAACGTGCTCGTCCTATGTCACCTCTCCTCCATCCATGTCTTTCTCTGTCTGTCTATGCATATGTGTGTGTGTGTGTGTGTGTGTCCCTCTCGCTCTCTCTCTCTCTCTCTCTCTTTCTCTTTCGTTCCATCCTCGTGTGCTCACCTGCTTTCTAACGCTCGTCAGCCCCGTCGTTGGATCACCTCATGCATCTAATGTTCCAGTGGCTTTCTGTGTCCGCGGTCTGTCCCCGCCCCCTGCTCTTTCTCGCCAACCCACCTTCTCGCCAACTTTCCGTTATCAGATCCTCTGGTCCCTCCCATCCTTACCATCATTGTTATTCCACCTGTCCCTGTCCTCGTCGCCTTCGCGTCCTCTGCCTCATCTCTTCCGCCTCAGATCCCCATCCTCACTTCGCCACAGCCTCCCGTCATCATCCCCTTCACATCCTTTCAGCTCCCCCTCCACCTCATCTCCCCCGCCTCCCATCCCCATCCTCACTGCATCGCCTCATCCCATCATGGTTCCCTCACCGTCCTCTCACCTCCCCCTCCTCATCCCACTTCAGCCCTTCACATTGCCCTTCCTCCTCAGTATTTCGCCTGAGCCATTCTTCTGGCCCCTCCTGACACTTCCCCCTCAACACTTCTCCTCAACTCCCTTCTTTACCACTTTTTAGCCCTCTTCCAAAATCATCCTCAACAGCCTTCCTCCTCAGCCCTTCTCTGTACATATAACCTTTGTCTTGACTCCTCCTCCTAACTCCTGTATGCCAACTTCCCCATCTTCCCTCTCTGCAGCCTGCGTTATCAGCCCTCATCAGCCCTCATCATACACCCTCAACCCCCCTTCCTCAATCCTCGCCCTGAACTCTCCCCGATCGTCCTCCTGACCCATACTCCACAATCTTCTTCCTGGATCAGTCTCCTGACTCTCCCTCCTCAGCCCTCCGCAGCACTCCTCGTCAACCCTCCTCTTCAAGACGTCTCCTCTACCCTCCTCAAACCTCCTACCCAACCCGTTCGACCCCCTAAAACCCCGAACCTCCGTAGTCCACCTTGACCCCTCCTCTCGATCCGTCCTTCGTCGCGGCCCCGCTCAGCCCGGGACGGTTCGAGGCTCATAAAGGGGTCATACTCACAGCCGGGACGGCTCATGAGGCTAATGGGGCCCCTGATGGTAGAACTCATGGGGCCCAACGTGTTCATGTCATGAGGCTCACAGGGCCGCAATGCCCACACAACTCATAGGGCTCGCGAATCATTCAGTTCTCAGAGGAACTATGGGTCTCATGGAAGCCATTTCCGCCACAGGTTTGAAAGGGCCATGAGGATCATATGACCCAGGAGGGGTCACGATGGTCCTGGGCGGCCCGTGGCTCCAACCACTCAGACAGCATCACATAGCGTACACCAGGTAGCTTGTACCACATATGTTGCGCCGCATAGCTTAGGCAGCATGGCTTGCACTACGCAGCTTGCGCTACATAGCGTGCACCACAAAGCTTGCACCACGTAGCTTAGACCCTTTCCATACAACATGTGTTCACGTGTGTGTATCGATACTCAACTGTTTATGCATGTTTTGGGATACGTGATATGTATATATATATATGCACATACAGGCATCTGTGTCTCTGTATAGAAGGTAGAGTGCTTCGGTCGACGTTTCGGAGGAACGTGGCTTCGGCCAGATTCGGGGCCCTGGATGAAGCCCAACCCCTCGTGTTCCCCCGCTCGCCATTGAAACCAGCGAAGATGTCGAGAATTCATGCCCTCGCGCATATGTGCTCGCATACTGCTCACCACTGCTTGTATCTTATTTGCAGACAGCGAATCTCAGTTGCGAGTTGTTAAGGTGCCACTGGGCTATAGAAAGCCTGCGTGCGCAACTGATATTTGGAAAACGCCCCAAGCTGGACTCTTAACTGGCGCTCCGCCAGGAAAGAGGCCAGTCCGTCAGGAAGAAGGCCAGTCTTGCGGGAACAAATGGAGAACTTGGGTGGTAAGAGGGGCAAGCCCTGGGGGAACTAGCAAGCCGTCGGCCCGTTGGGCCAGCAAATTTGCTTCCTGACCTTCGGCGACACTGCGCACCTGATCACTCTGGACAACTACGCCAGCAACGACCAGCTGGCCATCGCCGCCCGCGTGGCGCTAAGCGTGGGGCTCGCGGGCTGCTTTCCGCTGATCTTCGCGGCGATGCGCGAGGCGCTGGTGGAGCTGTTGTCGAGCATGATGCCGGAGTGGGACCTCGCCTTCAGCAAGGTCGCCTTCCAGAACGTATTCAGCATCGTTTTGCTCACCGCGGTCGTCTTGACGAGCACTTCGGCACACAAGATCGACGCGATGGCCATCAATTTCGGCCGCACGACCGCTGGCACCCTGCTCATCTACGTCATCCCCGCTGTCCTCTGGGTGTCGACCTACCGCACTTTTATGGTCAGCAAGATACAGACGCACCAGATGATCGGCGTGGTCGGCCTCGTCGCCGTCGGCGTGTCGCTCGCGGTGCTGAGCCCGATCGTCTGGCTGACGCGCATCGACTCGAGGTTCGGCGCCATGGGACCTCCAGACGTGAGTGGCGCAGAGGCTCAGGCTTTGCGTGTGCACCCCAACGGCTCCAAGTGGTGGTGATGTCCGCTGGCCCGCCTCCTCCTCCTCGTCCTGTTCCCGCCTCTTCATCCCCCTGGAGCATCGCCCTGTCTCCTCGGCGCGGCTGCAGATGAGGCCCGGGAGCGCCCGCAGGCGCGCGGCGCCCGCCGCTCACGAGGCCCACGCTTCTCGAGGGTCGTGGCCTTCGTAGCTTCTGATAGTTGCTCGAAGCTCTATCGAAGGCATCTTCTCTTTTGAATGCCGCGGCAGTTCCATTTACGGCGCGCGACAGGCGGGGAAAAATCATAGTCAGGGGTTTGTTGAATTGCCTGTTTGCTTCTGCATTGGTTTGTGTTGCCTCTTATGCCGCTCAGTCGCTGCGTTTTCCTCTGCCAGTCGTTGGATATTGACGGTGCATGGTGTCGTTTCGTTCCCTAGCTTGGATGGACCTCCCTGGTCATATGGATTCAGAGGTACAAGCAGGAGGACGGGAAGGTTTAGTCGAAGGTAACGGTTCTAAGACCACTGAAAACGTAATCAGACAGATCGACATCACATTCGCCCCAGTGAGGGGCTCAAGATCACGTAATACGTAATGTTGCAATTTTGTCGGCCTTGCGCTCGTCAGCCCGAGATCCAGATCACGTGCGGAACCATAGACAGCTCGATCCAACGAATTCTGCACGCTTCGCGTATATCCCCACCAGTTTATTCAACTGCTAGCGGCTATCGGCTGCCCTCCTCCCCTCCTCCTTGCGCTATGGGTACGATGGTGGCGTCCCATCGGCTTGTGGCACTCAAAGGACTGCAAGTCTCCAGGCTGCTTATTGACAGGCCACAGGTGAAGGAGCTGGGCCAGTTCACGTGCGTCCTCCTGAAGTGAGGTGCACTTTCACTGCGTCCGCCCATGGTATCCGTGGGCTCCGCTTGTGGGGTCTGGCTGCATACAAGTCCAGCGGCTATCGCCACAGCACTTTGCCTGAGAGGCGCGGCTATCATGGGTCCCGCCTCACGCAGGCAGTGGCAGTCGGGGCTGCCCCAGGGACGAAGGATTCCCACTGGGCGGCTACGTTCCTGACGGCCCACCCAGTGATGGGGTTTGTTTCACCGCTGTGGCAGGCCGCGGCCTTGGTTCCCGTGCTACCTCCTGGGAGTGAGGTACACCCCCAACACTGCGCTAGACCCCCACGGCCCCCGTGGGCTCGTAGCCCGTGCGGTCGGCTGAGATAACCCCACCCACGGTTTTGGCCGCGTTGCCGGCCCGTGGAGGACCGGGTCGATTGGCTGAAGGCGTCGCCCCATCTGTCCCCGCCTGCAGTGGATGGCTCTGGCCACGGACTGGTGCCACCTCCTGGGTTCGAGGGGCACTACACTGCGCATAGATTCCCGCGGCGTCCCGTGGGTTCCTGCCCCTGCGGTCGGCTGAAATAACCCCACCCAGGTTCTTTGCCCGCGTTGAGTGCGGGCCGTGGTGCAGAGGCTACTGGCTGAAGGCCCCTCCTCGTGCTTCACCATTTGAAGTCCAGCTGTGTGCTAAGTGGCTTCCCCCCTTCGTCGATGTCGGGAGTGATCATCATTCATGATGACGAATACGCACAGGGTGCCATGTGAATGAGTCCGCCGCGTTCTAGGCCTCCTGTGCTCCGTTCCGCCTCTTTCCCATTCCCCTGTGCTGCGCCCCTTGTGGCTGCTAGGGTACAGGTTCAGCGTATGTTACTGCTCCATTTGCATGTGCAGTTCCTCCTGGTGCCCTTGGTCCGCTGGCATCTGCCCAGTGGTCCCTGCTTGCTTTCCGCCTCTGGCGGCGGGCCGCGTTGCTTCCGCCTGCGCCCTCTGCCGCTCTGCTCTCTTTCTCCCGGCCACTGGTCAGGTTTCCCCACCTGTGGGTCTGGCTTGTGCTCGTTTGTTGTCCACCCGTGGCGGCTTCCTTACCGCTGGCATTCGCCCAGTGGTCTCTGCATGGTAATCATCTGGCATTGCGCCCCGTTGCCTCATTCCGCCCTCTGGACTTTTCCTTGCGGGCCGCAAATTTAAAAAAATATATCCCCACCGGCCAATTCAGAAAACCTGCCCATGAGAGCTAACGGGACACGGGACGAAGAGACACAGGGACACGGGACAACGTGAAACAATTTGGGCAACCAGGGTGAACAGAGAGATCTCTGAGAGCAAGGGCGTTGCTTTCGAGGGCCTCTTCGGGCCCTCTTGTAGCCCTTTTGGGCTCTTGGGGCTCTTCTGGGGGGTCCTGGAGCCCTCTTGGGGTCCTCTTGGGGCTCTCTTGGAGTTCTCCTAGGAGCCCTCAAGGGCTTCCTGCAGCCATCTTGGAGAACATCGATTAATAGGGTGGTGGGCTTCCATACCCAGGCCCCCATCTGGGGCCCTTAACATCGCCTTGTCGTGCCCCGCTGGGCCCCTTTTCGCTCTTGGGCCATTCTTGGTGCCTCAAACGCGCGGGGGGACCAGAATAGGCTCCAAGAGCAGTTAGAACCCTCTTGGAGCGGTCTTTTGGTTCCGCTTGGGGCATGTTGGGAACCATCTTGAGCCATCTTCGGCTGTCGGGGGCACCGTCGGAGTCCATCGTGGAGCATGGGAGGCCATCTTGGAGCCATATTGGGCCATCTTGGACGCTCTGACCCCTTCCCTTCGAAGATGGGGAGGGGGAGGGTACCCTTCCCCGAAGGGAACAGTGCTTTTGGAACATGAAGGAAGTAGCTCGTTAGAGCACGGTGAGAGCTGAACCCGAACAACATGTCCTGTTGCAAAATATGCTGGTTTGGGGATGCCAGCCAGCCCTCGTCGACGGAGTTGCGTTTTTTTTTTTTTTTTTTTTTTTTTTTTTTTTTTTTTAGACCTCTCAGGCGTGCGTTGGATGTCATTTGTTCTCAATTGGTGTTCAATTCCGCTCGGGTCCCTGCCCGACGAGGGCCACGCCGATCGAGTAAGAGAATTGCCGTTGTGTTGAATATTCATGCTGCCGTGGTGTGCGGCCTAGTTGTATAGGTGATAAGTCTGACCACTGGGGAGTCGCACGCGACGCATCAGCCCATACACCAAGTCTTCGAATTCTGCTCCTCCTCTGCGCCTCCTCCTTTCCCTCATCATCCTTCCTCCTCTTCCGCCTGGCCCATTTTTGGCAATCGCGTTGCCCACTCGATCTTCTGCCCTTTTTCGCACATTGTGTTCCTTCCATTCGACCGCATGCTGAAGGCTTCTTCCCATCAGTTGGGAAGCTGGTAGTTTTCAGTATCGGGGTATTAGCAGGTAGTGCTTCCGAGCCCTCACATGTTTGAGTTGAATGTTGATTGGTGCGATTGCTTCTCAATGGCTTTTGCGTGCCCGCCTCCAGAAACATTGCCTGTCAGCCCTGTTCAGCCTCGTTGTCGTCGTCACTACGCCCCTCGTCGATGAAGAGGAGGAGAACGAGGAGCAGGAAACAGGGACTGGCCCTAACTGGCTCCACGAGGCCCCAGGACGGTCTGCACACGGCTGATTCCTCCTCCTCTTCCTCCTCCTCCTCCCCCTCCCCAGCCTGTAGGCATGTTGAGGTAGCAGGGATCCCAGGATTTCCTGATGATGCCGCGGAGGCACCAGAGGAAGCCACGAGTTCCCGACACTCTGTCCCCATTGGTCGTTCGCGCAGAGGAAAGAATATGGGCTGAGAGAGAGAGAGAGAGAGAGAGAGAGAGAGAGGGGAGAGAGAGAGAGAGAGAGAGAGTTGGGGAGGGAATGCTCTGCATATACATATCTGTTTGCACACACCCATATATATATGTATGCACAGCTATTTAAATATAGGCAGACATGCATACTGAGCCACGCACAAGAATAGAAAGAGAGCGCGCGAGAGAGAGAGAGAGAGAGAGAGCGAGAGAGAGGAACCATAACACTACATCCTGGCAGCAACATGCACTTCACAGCACACTCGAATCATAACCGTATCATTCTATGTTGCTGCGCATGCAGGAGACCGTATTGGAGACCATGCGGGAGACAATACGGGATACCACGAGGCAGACCACACGGGAGACCACACGGGAGACCACAGGGGGGACCATACGGGGAGATCAGGCGAGAGACCATGCGGGAGAACGTGCGGGAGACCACACGGGATACCACACGGGAGTCCATTTTTGGGAGACCATACGGCAGCCGATACGGGAGACCGTACGGCTGACAATGCGGGAGGCCCCACGGGAGGCCCCGCCTTCCGACCGATTCCTGATCCAGCAGCTCGCCCAATAGCCCACTCCATGCGGGAGACCATACGGGAAACCATGCGAGAGGCCTCACGGCCTTACGGGAGGCCACGTCGTCCGATCGATTCCGGATCGGTTGCAGACAAGGTGCTTAGGGAACACCAGTTGTATGCATCTAACACGAGAGAGAGAGAGAGGGGGGGAGAGGAAACATCTAGAGCGTGTGTGAGAAGGTTGCAGGAATGGGCCATGCTGGAAGAAACGGCGATCCACCCACACGCGAGGACTTGGAGAAAGTATCAGGAGCAGGCCTCCATGACTCGGTTCTTGGCGTGAATGTCAAGGATCCAGACAGCCTGAGGAAGGCAGTGCTACAGGTGCCCTGGCATGGGCAGTGGATCGAGGCAATGGAGAACAGCATCACGACGGGTGCGATTATGGTAAGGAGCGCGACTATTCAGGATTAGGGGGAAGCTGGAGGAGCGGAGGAATACGAGGAGGAAGGCGAACATATTGCTGATGCGACTGCTGATGATTACGCCCAAGATGATGATCATGGTCTCATGATGATAGAGCTGGTGGTGATGATTCTTATGATGATGATGATGATGATGATGATGATGATGATGATGATGATGATGATGATGATGATGATGATGATGATGATGATGATGATGACGATGATGATGCTGATGATGATGATGATGATGATGATGATGATGATGATGATGATGATGATGATAATGATGCTGATGATGCTGATGATGCTGATGATGCTGATGATGATGCTGATGATGATCAAGACGAAGAGTCATAATCATCATACCAATAATAATAGTAATAACAAGAAGAAGCTGAATATTAAGAATATTATGAATAATAAGAAGATGAGGAGGAGGAGAAGGAGGGGAAGGGCTAGGAGGACGAGGACCAGGACGAGGACGAGCACGAGGAGGGTCGGCCCACTGGGCATGCCCTGCGACGTGTGGGCCAACTGCTCGTCTGTTGCAGATGCGGAGTGCAATCTGTTCCGCTCTGTGCTGCATACGCGACGCCTCGCGCTGGCCTTCGCAGACATGCTCCACTCGCTCACCTCACCCACATGCCACATGCTTCAAAGCGGTGCAGGATGACTTGTGTAGTGCAGTCTCCCTGGGGCGTTTGGCACAGGTGACCCTTCTGGCCAAGCAGCGTACCAACTGCCCAGGATCATGGATTTGTGCAGATCGCTGAGCTTGTTTAGAGGCGGGATTGGCCCCTCCTCCAGAATAGTGAAGCGCTCGCAGCATGAAGTCCCCATCATCTTGGGCGGGCCGCCACATGAGCGCTCCACGGATGATGCCCAGCTGCCTGCGGCAAGGCCCCCCCGCGACCTTAGCCCTCTTGGCTCCAGGCCGCGGCGCCCCTCGGAGAGCGGTCGGCGGGCCCAGGGGCCGCCATGGCGGTCCCGGCGCGGCCGCGCCCCGTCTCCGCGCGGCCGCCCGCGCTCGCGCCCGCGCTGCGGCGCGCGAGGCTCGGGCCCTCCCCGCCGCGGCCGCCGCGGCCGCCGCGGCCGTTGCGAGTGGCCGTGGGTGCGGCCGCCGCTGGCGCCGCGGGCGGCGCGGCCGCGGCAGCGGCGGCCCCCGCGCGGGTGGGCGGTCGGCGCGGCGTGGCGGCGCCGCGTGGCCGCGGCGCTGGGCCTCGCGGCGCTGGGCCGCGCGGCAGCAGGGCGCGGGGAGGTCACCGTGGGCCGCCGCCTGGCCTCGCCCCACGGGCGGCGGCCGCCGTGGCGGAGGCGGATCCTGCAGTGCGCTGTCGTGCTGGCTGGCCTCGGCCTCTTCGCTGGCACCGCGTGCGCCGCGACGATGGCGGCGGCGGCCTCAGGCCCGCCTTCCTGGGCGAGGCTCATCCCGCGCCTGTCGCTCGGGGAGTCGCACGACATGATCGTGCTCCTCCTCGCCACCACCGTCGTGGTGCCGCTGATGAAGAGGATGAAGACCTCCCCGATCATAGGTTTCCTGCTCATCGGCTTACTGTTAGGTCCATCAGGGATCCACCAGATTCAGAATGTGGAGTTGGCCGAAGTCATCGCCGAATTCGGGATCATATTCTTCCTTTTCGAGATGGGGCTGGAGTTGTCGATCAAGAAGGTCTTGAACATGAAGGCGGACGTGTTCGGAATCGGCACAGCGACGTATCTTCTCACCTTCGGGTCGGTGGCGCTGCTGGCCAAAGGCATCATGCCGAGTGCGAGCGCCGGCACCCTGGTGGTCCTCGGCGGGGCGCTGGCGCTCTCCTCGTCGGCCTTCGCGCTGCAGCTCCTGAGGGACAACGGGCAGCTCGGCACCCGGTACGGGCGCTCCACCTTCGGCGCGCTCCTCTTCCAGGACCTGGCCGTGGTCCCGCTGCTCGTCGTGGTGCCCCTCCTGGCCCCCGGCGCCGGCGGGGCAAGCCTGGCGGTGGCCTTGCTGCAGGCCTGCGGCAAGGCGGTCGCCGCGCTGGGCGTGATCGTGGTGGGCGGCCACGTCCTCCTGAGGCGCGCCTTCGCGTGGGCGAAGAGGTCGAGGTCGCAGGAGGCCTTCCTCGCGGTGACGCTCGGGGTGGTCCTCTTGTGCTCCGCGATCACCGAGTCGCTGGGGCTGTCCAACACCTTGGGCGCCTTCGTCGGGGGTGTGCTGGTGGCCGAGACGGACTACAAGTACCAGGTCGAGGCCGACATCGCGCCCTTCCGCGGACTGCTGTTGGGCCTCTTCTTCGTGACGGTCGGTTTCTCCCTGGACTGCCGCCTGCTCATCGCGTCGTGGGCGCAGGTGGTGCCCTTGCTCCTCGGGCTGCTGGCGCTCAAGGGCGCCATCACCGGGCTCGTTTGCCGCGGCCTAGGCGGCCTGTCGCGGGCCTCGGCCCTGCAGGTGGCCGCCCTGCTCGCGCCCGGGGGCGAGTTCGCGTTCGTGGCGTTCGGGCTGGCCGAGCGGCTCCAGCTGCTGCAGCCCAGGGTGGCGAGCCTGCTGGTGACGACCACCGTGCTTTCCATGGGGCTCACGCCCGTCCTCGCAGGCCTGGCCGATAGCACGGCGGAGAGGATGCGCCGGAACAGGGACCCCGAGTACTTCAAAGGCACCGACAAGTTCCAGAAGGACGTGCAGAAGATCAGCGCGGCCAACCAGAAGGGCTTCGTGGTGCTGTGCGGCTGGAACGCGGTCAGCCGCGCCGTGTGCGAGCTGCTCGACAGCGAGGGCAGCTACCAGTACATCGTCTTCGAGAGCGAGCCCAGCATCGCCAGCAGGGCGCGCGCGACTGGCCTCCCGGTGTTCCTGGCCGACTGCAGGCGCCGCGAGGTACTGGAAAACTTCAACGTCGAAAAAGCCGCGCTGGTCGTGATCGTGGCGCCGAGGCGCGAGGCCGACGCGTACGCCGCCGCCTTCCGGCGCTTCTACCCAGGGCTGCCCATCGTGTGCCGCGCCGAGGACGAAAAGCACAAGCGGTACCTGCAGGACATCTTGAAGGTCTCCGCCGTGATCCCCCGGCTGATCTCCGTCCGCTTCGGCGGCTTCGTGCTGAGGAGCCTGGGCAGGCCCCAGGCGGAGATCGAGAGCCTCATCGAGGAGCAGCGGCGGCGGGCGATGCGGGACCTGTCCGAGCAGGCCAGCGAGCAGGGCATGCTGGACGGCAGCGAGGGCGTTGACATGCTGGACCAGGCCGTGGGAGGCGCCCTGCCGGACCCGGGGGGCGCGCTGAAGATCCCGGGCCTGCCGGAGGCCGCCGAGGACGACGCCGAGCTGGGCGGCGCAGGCCCTCGCCCTGACGCGGGGGGGTCCGCGGACGCGGGTGCTGGCGGCGCAGACGGCAGCGGCTGAGCGCAGCGCGGCCTTGGGTCGCGCTGGTCCGTTCAGGGCGGCCGCTCCCAGGGTTTCACGAAAGGCCTGTACACGATGGCCTAGTCCAGGAGTGGGCTGTAGAAGGCACGGGGGCAGGAATATCGAGCGCACTATTTGGGGCCATGTCCACTCATGCAGGGGCTTTCGTGACATCAGGGGCTCCATTCAGCACGCGTACCATGGACCAGCAGCAGAGAGGCAATCACCTGCAGGACATGACATGGTAAGGAGGCCGCCAGAACCACCACAAGTCTCATGTGCACACCCATGCCACGCTTCAATGAATGACTAAGTCGCGTACAACAGAGGAAGGAGGCAAGCTCTCACTCGGATAATCCGTTTCACAGCTCATATGTATGTGTTCCCCCATCGTGTTTTTTCTCATCCTCTTCCTCGCAAAGCTCATGCTCCCTGGGTCAAGCACCCCAGGTGAACGAGCAGAGTCCTCTGGAGCACTCCGGAACTGCCAGGACGGCCCCCAATGCGGCCCCACGACGGGCGCAATAATCCCTTCCCAGGCGGCCAAGAGTGGCCCCAAGACGGCCCATTGGAGGCCCAATGCGGCCTAAGAGAGTTCCAATGCGGTCCAAGAGGGCCCCAAGGGAGCCCCGAGATGCGCTTCAGAAGCTCCAAGAAGCCTCCCAGGAGCCTCCGAGACGCCTCGAAGGAGCTCTGAAGAAGAGCACGTCGCTCATGCTTGCAGCATGTTACACGCAGTCGGAGGAATTCGACAGGGAAAGACCCAGCATAATGGGAACGGGCCTGTCTGAAAGAGACACAGAGTTCAATCGTCGAAGGAAGGGTGCACAGGAAATGCTGCTCCCGCGCGCATCGCATATCGCTCGTTAATTTGGAAGGATGTAGGCCCTTCTTCCACCTCTTTTCTTTCGTCCTGGCGGGCCTTGATTTGCCCGGCCGCGCGATGAAATCTGTTCCTCTCATTGCCCGGGCCCGTCCTGTGAGTGCCTGCGTACATGTGATGAGACGACAGTCTGGTAGCCAGAGGCTTCGCATGGCCGTCTAGGACAGTCAGGATCGAGGGGGAGGAGGAAGAGGAGGAGGAGGAGGAGGAGGAGGACGAGGAGGAGAAGGTGGAGCAGGAGGAGGAGGAGGAGGAGGAGCAGGAGGAGGAGGAGGAGGAGGAGGAGGAGGAGGAGGAGGAGGAGGAGGAGGGGAACGCTACAATCCGAGGGTTCGAGTTGGCGCAACGTCAAAAGAAGGATCAGGGATCTCCTCCCCTCCCTCCCCCCTTCCCCCTCCTCCTGGTAGTACCTCTGGAGGCCTCTGGAAATACAGTAAGAGTAAGAATGCCAAAAAGCCCTGATCCTTGATACTCCTCCCCCCTCCCTTCTCGTCGACCCTCGGTCCATCATCCTCCATTCTCGATCGAGGACGAGGATTATGGATGAATTTCTACCTTCTTGCGCTGTCCAAGGGCCTTCGTCCCTCGTCCGAAGCTGCAGCGTCAGTTCCACAAAATATTCCTCTCGCTTCGCGGGGTGCACGTTCGGAGCACGTGAAGACTGGGCGTTGGGTGGTTTGCCCTGCTTGTCTGCCGCGAAGTTGTGCCGTGTCGCTCTGCGCGCTGCCAGCGCCACGGGGGGCGGATGCGCCTTCATCCCCAGTTTCAGCGCGGGGACGAGCGTGCGAATGTCTACGAGGGCAATGAGCATTCACCGCGTGTCAGCACGAGGCAGCGCCAAGTTCGAACTCCGATGAGCACAGCAACAACGCGCCATTCGAATACAATTCCGCGGGTGTCTTGGTGTTTTTTTGGGGGCTGTTTGGCTGGTCCCCAGCGGCCTCTTGGAGGTTTCTTTGGGGCCCTTGGGGGCTTCTTGGGGGCCTTTGGGGGGCCTCGTGGACCGTCTTGTGGCACCCTGCGCCGTCTATCCCCTTCGGAAGGCCTCATAGGGGGCCTCTCGCGGCCGCATTGTGGCTCTCTTTGGGTCCTCTTGGGCTGTTTTGTGGGCCTATTGCGCTGCCTTGGGGGCCTCTTTGGGACATCTTGGGGCCCTGTAGGGCCTGCTTGGGGCCTCCTTGGAGGTCTGGGGCCGTCTTGTGACCCTCTTGGATGCTGCTTGGGCCGCCATGGGCCCCCGATCATCTTGCAACATTTAAGCGAAAATCCATGCTTTTGGGAGCCCACTTGGAGCCCTCTGGGGGTGTCTTGGGGGGCTCTTGGGCCCTTTTGGGAGCCAACTTGGGCTGTCTTGGGGCCGTCTGGAGGCTATATTTAGCCGTCTGCAGGCCCTCTTGGACCCCAAGAGGCCTATGATACCCAAACCATTTATTGCGAAGGCCTTGCGGCCGGTGCCGCCGACCTGGAGGCCTCGGCCCTGGACGGAAATGGGAGGGAGAGGGCGGGCCATGGGCCCCGGGAGTGTGGTATTCTGACCCGGGAACCCCCCCGGGGACCCCTTCAGGACCCCCCCCCCCCTTCGAGTAAACACAGACGTTGCTCAGATTGGCTTCCCCTCCGCGTCGCGGCCGCTCCCCTCTCCCGAAGGGAGCCGCCCGCGTGCCCCCCCCCCGGGTATCCGGGTGGGACCCCCCCCACCCCTCCCCACCCCCCGGGGGAAGGGATAAAAGGGAAGGGGCTTCCCTTCGAGTAAGCTACGACGTTGCTCAGATTGGCTTCCTCCCCGTGTCGCGGCCGCTCCCCTCCGCGTCGCGGCCGCTCCCCTCCCCCGAAGGGAGCCGCCCGGGTGCCCCCCCCCCCCCCACCCGGGCATCCGGGTGGGACCCCCCCCACCCTCCCACCCCTCGGGGGGAAGGGATACAAGGAAAGGGGCTTCCCTTCGAGTAAGCTACGACGTTGCTCAGATTGGCTTCCTCCCCGTGTCGCGGCCGCCCCTCCGCGTCGCGGCCGCTCCCCCCCCGAATGGAGCGCCCGCTTGCCCCCCCCCGCACCCCCCGCCCCTCCCCACCCCTCGGGGGAAGGGATACCTTCCCCGATACCCTGACGATCTCGGGGGGACCTATCTTCCCTCTACGACGTTGCTCAGATTGGCTTCCCCCCGTGTCGCGGGCGTCGCGGCCGCTCCCCTCCCCCGAGGGAGCCGCCCGGTGCCCCCCCCCCCCCCCGGTATCCGGGTGGACCCCCCCCCCCCCCCTCGGGGGGAAGGGATAAAAGGAAAGGGGCTTCCCTTCGAGTAAGCTACGACGTTGCTCAGATTGGCTTCCCCCCGTGTCGCGGCTGCTCCCCTCCGCGTCGCGGCCGCTCCCCTCCCCCGAAGGGAGCCGCCCGGGTCCCCCCCCCCCCGGGTATCCGGGTGGGACCCCCCCCCCCCTCCCCTCGGGGGGAAGGGATAAAAGGGAAGGGGGCTTCCCTTCGAGTAAGCTACGACGTTGCTCAGATTGACTTCCCCCTCCGTGTCGCGGCCGCTCCCCTCCGCGTCGCGGCCGCTCCCCTCCCCCGAAGGGAGCCGCCCGGGTGCCCCCCCCCCCCCTCCCGCCCCCCGGCATCCGGGTGGGACCCCCCCCCCCCCTCCCCTCGGGGGGAAGGGATAAAAGGGAAGGGGCTTCCCTTCGAGTAAGCTACGACGTTGCTCAGATTGGCTTCCCCCCCGTGTCGCGGCCGCTCCCCTCCGCGTCGCGGCCCGCCCCCCCCCCCCGAATGGGAGCCGCCCGGCCCCCCCCTCCGGGTGGGACCCCCCCCGCCCCTCCCCACCCCTCGGGGGGAAGGGATACAAGGAAAGGGGCTTCCCTTCGAGTAAGCTACGACGTTGCTCAGATTGGCTTTCTCCCCGTGTCGCGGCCGCTCCCCTCCGCGTCGCGGCCGCTCCCCCCCCCCCGAATGGAGCCGCCCGGGTGCCCCCCTCCCCGCCCCGCCCCCCCCGGGTATCCGGGTGAGACCCCCCCTCCCGCCCCCCCTCGGGGGGAAGGGATACAAGGAAAGGGGCTTCCCTTCGAGTAAGCTACGACGTTGCTCAGATTGGCTTCCTCCCCGTGTCGCGGCTGCTCCTCTCCGCGTTGCGGCCGCTCCCCTCCCCCGAAGAGAGCCGCCCTTGTGCCCACCCCCCGGCATCCGGGTGGGACCCCCCCCCCCCCTCTCGGGGGGGGGGAAGGGATAAAAGGAAAGGGGCTTCCCTTCGAGTAAGCTACGACGTTGCTCAGATTGGCTTCCCCCCAGTGTCTGGCAGGGCAGATTGGCTTCCCCCTGGGTCGCGGCCGCTCCCCTCGCCCGGGGAGAGTCGACCACTCCCCCTCTTGGAGCCGACGTGGCGGTGTCGTGGGCAGCTCCCCTCCCCCGAGGGGAGCCCACTACCCCTCTTGGAGCCGACGTGACGATCTCGTGGGCGACGACGACCCACGCAAGATGACGAGATCTGGATACGTCTTCCACACGCCGACAGGGTCGGCGGATCTTCAGTGATAGGTTGCACCGATCTGAGCCCAAGGGTTTGCCACCTTTGACTCTTCGAATGTGTCGTGATTTTCGTTGGGCGTATATCTGAATTGTGTATGCCGAAGCCCTGGAAGTCGGAGTACACGACATAGAAGTGGCCAAAGGCTGGCCACCCCTCCTGCAGAGAAACACTGGCCGGCTCTTCTTGGAGGAGCGCGCCACCTGTGGCCAGGAACCCCCTTTTCACCTCCGCCACCTCCTCCTCGCCTTCGCCCTCCTAACCCTCCTCAAACCTCCGCTTAGCTAGTCGCCCTCCTCCTCCACCTGCCTCCTCCTGGCTCTCGCCCTCTTCGCTCTCCTGCGCCCCCTCCGTGCAAGTCGCCCTCATCCTCCTCCTGTTCGACCTCCTCAACCTCCTCCTTGGACCTCTGTCCCCTTGGCATTGGCAGTGGCCTTCCGGCCTGCCTCTTTTGCCTCCTCCGGCCCGCTGGCCAGCCTTCCTCTGTCCTCCGTCCTCAGCGTCCTCGGGCCGGCTTCTTTTCCGGCGCCCTCCTCCTTCGTCCTGCCTTGCGCCGGTCCTCCGGCCCTGCTTCCACCGCCCCCGCAGCGCCTCCGCCTCGCCCTCGGGGAGGGCCCGCTTTGGGCAGGCCGCGGCCGCCTCCTGCTTCCTCCTCCTCTTCCCTCGACCCTCAGGGCTCCTCGGCGGCTCGTCTGGGCGCTCCCTCCTCATGGGGGGCACATTATAGTATGAGACTTGGTGAGAAGGGAGCATGATTGGACACACAGGAAATGTTGTATTGTAGCCTTCGCAGAAACGCTGGCGCTCAGCACGCCACCTCCAGACGTGGATTCCTCTCGCTTCGCGTGGTGCATGTCCGGAGCACGTGACGACTGGGCGTTGGGTGGTTTGCCCTGCTCGTCTGCCGCGAAGTTGTGCCGTGTCGCTCTGCCCGCCCCAGGGCGCTGCCAGTGCCACGTGAGGCGGATGCGCCCCGCGCCCCCCCCCCCCCGTGTCAGCGCCGGCACGAGCGTGCGAATGACCGCGAGGGCAACGGGCATTCACCGCTTGTCAGCACAAGGCGACGTCAAACTTGAATTCCGATTATCATAGCAACATCGCGCCATTCGTATGCAGTTCCGAGGGTGTCTGGGTGGTTTCTTGGGGCCGTTTGGGGGGTTCTTGGCCTCTTGGGTTTTTGTTGGGGGACCCTCGGGGGCTTCTTGGGGGCCCTTAGGGGTCTCTTGGGGACCGCAACCTGAGTTCGCGGTGGGACCGCATTTCGCGCGTTCTCACGCACATGGCACACTGGAGTGCAAGTCGTGCAGAGGATGCCGTTGAAGTGAGCACCTTGGGGATCGAACTGCCGATCGCGCCGTGCCCCGAACTCAGGCGGTATGCCTGCTTGGTTGCCCAAGCACCTCTGCTGACATGGACATGATGACGGCAAAGGGTCCTGATGGCCTTGAGCTCATCGGGACACCGTGCCTCGGTTGCGGGTCAGAAATCGTAGGGATAGTTGGTGGAATCTCTTCGGGGGGGCCTCGGAGGCCTTTGTTTTTTTGGAAGCCTCTTGGGGCCCTCTTGGGGACCTCGTTTGGGCCTCGTTGGGGCCTCGTGGAGTTCGTGGAGGCCTCTCGGGGCTGCTCCGGGGTTCTTGGTGGCCTCAAGAGGCCTTTCGGGCGTCTTAGAGGGTCTCTGAGGGCCGAGGGCTCGAGATCTTGATTCGGGATTCTTCTCTGCAGCCTCTTTGGGGCGGTCTTGGGGCCTCGTCGGGCCGTTTTGCAGGCCTCCCGGGTCGTCGTGGGGCTTCTTTGGGCCGCTTCGGCGCCGCTTCGGGCGCAAGTCGCGAAGGCGAGAACCGCCCAAACTTTCAAACACTATGCGGGAAACCATGTTCGTTTGCATCTTGGGGCGCTCTTGGGTGTGTTTTTGGACGCCTCTTAGGGGGTCTTGGAGGCGTCTTGGGCCGTCTAGAAGCGATCTGGAGCGTCTCAGAGCGATGTTTCGGCGACTCGGGGCCTTCCTGAACTTTGTTTAGTGCATCTTGCAGCTCTCTTGGTCCGTCTTGGAGTCTTCCTGATGAGTTGGGCCAGGGGCCGTCTTGGGGCCTCCGGGGGTCCGGGGTCCGTCTTGGGGCCTCCAGACGCCTGATAAGGTCGGCCAGGGGTCGTCTGGGGCGGGGGGGTGGGTCAAACATGCAGTTTGGGCCTCTGGGTGGGGGGGTTGTGGGGGGGAACCTTTTGCACGTCTGGAGACCCAAAAGGGGTCGGCGGAAATGAAGAGCGAATACGTTCTTACCACAACCAGTCGAGATAGAAATCTCAGTCCCTGGGGGCTTCAAATAGCGCCAGGGGGAAAGAAAAAGATGAAGGGTTCAGGATTGAAGTGGAGGCGGAGGAGAAGGAGGAGAAGGAGGAAGAGGAGGGGGAGGAGGAGGATAATGAATGAGGGATCGAAGCCCCACTCCCTCCCATCCTTCTTTCTCCCCTCTCTTCGCCCCTCGATCCTCGATCCTCCTCCTTCCCCTCCCCTCCACCCTTCGATCCTCCTCGCCTTCTGGTGGGGGCAGGTGTGGGGCAGCGTCTTCACGCTGCGGGCGGTGCAGAGCCGACACGCAGCGGGGATGCCCCTCTACGAGGGGATCGTGGCGCGCTCGGAGCCGCCGCGCCGGGTCCTGCCCTCCTCCCCCCTGCCCTGCGTCCCCGCCTTCCCTCCCTCCCCGCGTTCCTGTTCTCGTGGTCCTGCTCCTCCCCCCTCCTCATCCTCATCCTCATCCTCACCATCGTCACCATCCTCATCCTGCTCCTCCCCCTGCTCATCGTCACCATCCTCATCCTCATCCTCATCATCACCATCAGCATCATCATCAGCAGCATCATCATCATCAGCATCATCATACTCACCACCATCATCATCATCAACATCATCATCATCAACATCATCATCATCATCATCATCAGCATCATCATCACCATACTCACCACCACCATCATCATCATCATCATCATCATCATCATCATCATCATCATCATCATCATCATCATCATCATCATCATCGTCATCGTCATCGTCATCGTCATCATCATCATCATCATCATCATCATCATCATCATCATCATCATCATCATCATCATCATCATCATCATCATCATCATCATCATCGTTGACATCATCGTCAATATCAGCAGAATCATCATCATTATGGGCATCCATGCCAATTCTCAATCAATCCTCGATCCGCCTTCCCTCATCCTCCCTCTTCCCTCTTCTTACCTCTTCCTCCTCCTCCTGCTGCCTCATCTCTTAAGACGGTGCAGGTACTTGTAGGCTTGTAGAGTATTTTGCGATTAATTTCCCTCCTCCCTCGTTCTCTCTCCTCCTCCTCACCTCATTCTTGTCCCTCCTTCACGTCTTCGTGCTGCTGCTGTTGCTGCTCCTCTTACTCCTTCCTCCTTCCCCTCCCGCCCCCGCCCCCCTCCCTCTCACGTTGTGGCTCGATCACCATTTTGGCGCTGAGAGTTCAGCTTCGCAGCCCGGGCCCGCCCCTCTATGAGCGCCAGATCTTGACTGAGTGCCCTTTCCCGAGCCTCTGGGCGTCGGCGGTTACGTGGCAAACCCCGTTGCGGACACTGCCGCCGCAAAGGCAAGACTTGACGAGGTTGCGAGAGCAATCACTTGGAAGGCTGAGACTGAGGCCCGTCCAGTCAGGCGTCGCCTCGTCTGAGGCCATCGCCGTGCATCTTTCAGAGCCCAGAGCTGCGTCTACAATGAGGCCGCCGCCTCATCCCGCCCCCTCCACCCTTGCACTGGTTGCGATCGCAAGAGGCTGCGGGGGCCGGCTGCTGGAGCGGGTCCCGGGCCGCGGGGAGGGAGGGGCCTCCGACACAGCCGGGCGTCGCGACAAGGCAGGGCAGAGCACCATGACGGGCACGTCTGCGCCGCCCAGGGCACCGGGGGCCCTCGCCTCCTGCATCTCGCGGCGGCGCCGCCGCATGCCGCTGCTGCTGCTCCACCGCCCCTGGCGTCCAGGCGTCGCGCCCCCCCCCCCCCCAAACACGCACTATACCGGCGTTTCTGCCCGGTCTCGGTCCCCAGCGCCCCCACGGATGGATCAGGTCGGCTGGCCACCCAACGGGGCTGAGGAGGAGGAGGAGGAGGAGGGAGGAGGGTGCGTGTTGCTTCTCTTCTCCCCTCTTCCTCCTTCTCCTCCTCCTGTGCATACGTCCTCGTCCTGATCATTCCTCATCCTTCTCCCTCGTGAATGTTTTTCTTTCTCCTGCCCTTCTTCCCGTGTTTGAGACACGTTGTGCCGCTCTTCTTCCTCCTGCCCTTTTCCCTGCTTTTGGAGCCAGGGTACCTTGTTTGTAGCGACGTGCTGTACGCGGACGATACCATGCTCGTGATTGCAAGCTCCGGGGGAAATACACCTTCTCCTGAAACTCATCATCCACGTGGGCAAGATTGGAATCGGAGTGAGGCCGTGGTGCTGAACATCAACAACCAGTGCATGGTATTGGAACCAACCTTACAGCCAATCAAACACGTACTTCTAGCAGTGTATTTGGGTGGGCTCTTGCACAGCAAGCCGACAGAAAACCGAAGTTACGAAAATATTGGGCGAACCACGAGGGACATTCAGACCATTGGCGACATGTTAGGACCACATCGGTATGCCAACATCACGAAATCTTTAATTTGAGGCAGTACTGATGCCACAGTTTTTGTACAATATGGAACCATTATGGTTGGTGCAGGCAGACTGGCAAAGGCTCGACAGCGCTCGACAGCTTCCAGGCCGCTCATCGTCGAAACTTATTGGGCATCCCAAAATCTGATCACTTCAGGGGGAAATTCGGCTCAGTGGCGACAGTAGTGCCCAAGCGCTGTGCCAAGGGCTGGCGCATGGTTTCTGTGCTGCTCTTCTTCCCTCCCTTCCTACTCCAGCTGTTGCTGCTGTTGGCTTTGTTCCGAGGGAGGGGGGGGGATTAAGGGGAGGGGGAGGGAGGGAGGTAGATGGGGAGGGAGGCATGGGAAAGAGGATTGGAAGGGGAAGCGGAGGGGAGGGGAGGACACACGTTTTCTGGCGTGGCCTCTTTGGCTCAAGGCAGGGATCCGAGCGGTGATGACTCAGGTCCACGTCGGATGCCAGAAGAAATTTGGCCAGGGTCTCGTCAGTGCGCTTCTCCTCTGGAAGCGCCCATACAGAAGTGTCGGAGGGCAAGGCAATGGATCGCAGCACTGGAGCTATTCCGCGAAGCGTCTCAGCTACGTGGGAGAGCCAATCCGGGCCAGTACATCGCGACCGCCAGCGCGTGCGGAAAGGGCAGGCAATGGCAGCGGGCATTGTCGCTTCTCGGCGAGTTGGCGGAGGCGCAGGTGGAGGCCGACGCTGTCATTTGGAACGCCAGGATCAGCGCGTGCGAGAAAGGCTGGCAGTGGCAGCAGGCTCTGGGGTTGCTCACCGACATGCGGGAGGCGCACCTGGAGCCCGACGTCATCTCCCCTACAGTGCCGCGATCCGCGCACGCGCCAAGATTCTCTCCAGTGGCAACGAGCCGGCCCCCCTGGGCCGCTCTGGCGTGGCTTTCGGAGCCGCCATGGTGGCCCCCAGAGCGGCCCGGACGGTCCACGACGCCCCAGACCCCCTCAAGAGGGTTCACAGGACGTCCTCTAGAGGCAAAGTTCTCTGGTCCCGTGAGGTTTCTCACAGATTTTCGAGTTCCGTCCTTCTCGGCTTGAGGCGCCCGACCACGGCCCGAGGGGCCTCTCAGATCGCCCCAAGACGGCCTAAGAGGCCACCCAAAGAAGTCTCTCGGCTTCCCCTGGGCCGTTCTGGCCAGCCCCTCGGAGCCGCCATGGTCGCCTCCGGAGCGGCCTCCAACGATCCAAGATGTCCCCATGCGGCCCAATCGCGCTTTGAGACCGCGCGGGATGTCCCCGATACGGCCCAAACGCCTCCCATGGCGCCTTCGGACGGCCCCAAGAGGGCTCCCAGGACGGCCTCAAGAGGCAACATGAGTGGACTGCCGTCAGTTTATTCAATGACTTTGCGTTCTCGCCACCTGTGGCTTCAGGCAGCAGCTCACGACGGCCCGAGGTGCCTCCCAGCTCGTCCCAAAAGACGGCCCAAGAGGCTTCCAACACCTCTCTTGGCTTCCCGTTTGTTCACCTGGGGCACTCGAGAGCAGTCCAGCCAGATCCTTCAGGTCCACTGGCAAGGTCCCCAGAGGGCTCCAAAAAGATGTTCTGATCCGTCACTTTGAACAAACTTCGAAGTGTCAGCTCCCAGGGCCGATATGGGCCCCTCTTGGGGCTCTCTGGGGTCTCTCTTGGCTTCCTTTGCGACCACTTGGGCCGCTGCAGAGCCGTCTTGCCATATTCTTGAGAGGTCCTGGGAAGTCCCCCAGAGGGCCCCAAGAGGGCTCTCTGATCCGTCACTCTCAACAACCTTCGCAGCGACGGCTTCCAAGGCCGTTATGGGCCCCAGTCGGGGCTCTTTCGGGCCTCTCTTGGCTTCCTTTGCGACCACCTTGGCCACACCAGAGCCGTCTTGCCAGATCATTGCTGGCTCCTGAAATGGTCCTCAAGTGGCCCCAAGAGGGCTTCTGATCCGTCACTTTGAACAGCCTTCAAAGCGGCAGCTCCTATGGCCGATGTGGGCCCCTATTGGGGCCCTCTTAGGCGGCTCTTGCCTTCCCAGGGCCGTCTTGCCAGATCCCCGAGAGCTCCTGGGACGGCTCCCAGAGGGCGCCATGGCTCTCTGATTCTTGGGGCTTTCTCGAGTCTTGTTTCGCTCCCCTTGTGGTCGATCGGTGGGCCTCCAGAGACGTCCAGCCAGATCCTTGTGGGCTCCCGCGAAGGCCCTCGGAGGGTCGCAAAGGGCCAGAGGTGCACCGAAAAATGGCCCCCGACAGCTCACGATAGCGGCCACACGGTCCATGGCCAGCCGGACTGTGCACCCCGAGTTCCCCAGACGCTCCATGCAGGTAGCATTTCCCACCTCCATGGATTTGAGGGGCCCGCCTGTGCCTCTGGCGCGCCGTGTTGAGGGGAGCCTCGCTGCCTTAGACACGCCGTCCCCTTCAGCGGCGGAAGGGGGTGCGTCTGGGTGAGGCCGCTTTGGGAAGCACGGCGCCCAGGCCGACTTGGACAGTCACTTTCACTGGAGGCTGTGCCTGTGGTCCGCGATGGTATGGGGCCTGGGGTTCTCGCGGGCTGCTCTGGGAAGCGACCTTGCCCTGTCGATTTCGAGACCTCCCCGCCTTCGGTCACGCGATGGTCGAGGTGGGTCCATTCGTGTCCTACTCATCTCTCACCCGCACACCTCCCAGGCACACACACACCACGTTCTCTTCGATCGCGAGGGTCCACACCGCAGGTACACGCTAGTCAGCTACAACGCTGGGATCTGCGCGTGCAAGAAAGGCGGACAGTGGGAGTGGGCTCTGTCTCTGCTCAAAGCGATATGGGAGGCAAAGCTGGAGCCCGACGTGATCAGCTACAACGCCGAGATCGGCGCTTGCGAGAAAGGCAAGCAGTGGCAGCGGGCTCTGTCGCTACTTAGCGGGATGTGGGAGGCGAAGCTGGAGCCCGACGTCATCTCTCCTACAGTGCCCAAGCTCGCGCGTGCGAAAGGGGCCTGGGGCCCAGTGGTGGGAAGCATCGACCCGACGGGCGACTCCGGAACGCTTCAAGACGACGCAGGGAGCCCCAAGAGGGTCCCAAGAGCGCCCCAAGAGGCCCCCAAACGGTCCAAGACAGGCCCCAGGCGGCCGACGAGGGCTCAGAGACGGCCTAATGAGCCCCAAGACGGCCCCAGAGCGTCCCTAGCTGGCCCAAGATCGCCCCAGGACGGGCCGCGAAGCCGAGCCCCAAGGACGCTCCAAGACGGCTCCAAGAGCACGCCCGAGACAGCCTCCACAAGCAACGGCAATTGATTGCTTCCTTGTGCACTGACTTTCTCGGGCCTTGGAGCGCCCAGGACTTCCAGGAGGTCCCCGAAACGTCCAAGACGGCCCCGGAGATCCCCAGGAGGGCCCAAAGACGGCCCAACAGGGTTCCAAGACGGCCCAGGTGGGAGCGCTCCGGGCTGGCCCCGAAGCATCCTGCGAACGTCCCCGGATCCCCCGACGACAGCTCCCAGTGGCCGCTAGGGCCGCCCAGACGGCTCCCAGGAGGCTCTGGGAGGAGCCCGAGGGAGCCCTAAGACGCCCCAAGGCAGGCCCCACGAAGGCTCCAAGCTGAGCCCCAAGCGGCTCCATGCGCGGCCCACGAGGAGAGCACGTGTTGGGCCACGAGCGGTCGAGGCCCTCGGGAGATTCGGGTGTTCGTCGCTGTTCAACCCTCTCTCCTCGCTCCTCGATCCAGGCTCCTCGCCCATCGATCATCGCTCCTCTGTCCCCAGCTCCTTGCTCACCTCCCCTGACTCCTCCTCGCTCCTTTCTCCTGGCCCCTGGCGCCGCACCCACCGGCAGGGCCTCTCACGGCCTCGGAGTGGTCCGACGCGCCTCGAAGGCGGCGACCAGACAAGATTGCCTCGAGACGCCCCCAAGCAGCAAGGGGCAGCGAGCGGCAGTGAGCCGACGAGCAAGCAACGACGCAAGCAACACATAAGCCAGTCGGTCAGGCCAGACCAGCAACTTCGCTGGCAGGAATGCATACATGCATCAGGAGGGAAAGAACCGCACAGACACAATTAATCGTCGACTTCCAGGAAAATATGGGAAAATATGGGAAGTGGGGTGGGAAGACACAATCCAAGAAAATATGGGAACACATGGGGGATCCTGTTATTTGTGCGTATTAGTTTGTGTCCCTGGGCTCCTTTAGTGAAGTCAGACAGGCAAGCGATCCTCACCCTTGCGTGAGACAGTAAACTTTCGCAGCCGCTGGGTGACGTATGAACAGATCAGGTCGCCTGCCGTGGACGTAGTCCACGGGTCCGGGGCCCTGAAGAAGGAACCCTTTTCGTTGGGGAGGGGCTCCGCGTTCCTTAAGTGTTTCGCAGCTTGCCTCAGGTTTTCCTTATGTTTTCGATCGGAATCGAAGCTTAACTTATGGAACAAAGGGGCCTCGTTCCTTATTTTGGGTTCCTTAGGTCAAGGCCCCGACTGTAGTCAGTTACAATGCTGGGATCAGTGCTTGCAGTAAGAGCGCGCAGTGGAAGCAGGTTCTGGCGCTGCGGAGGGACATGCGCGAGGCAACACTGGAGCCCATCGTCATCAGCACGAGTGCTGGCACCAGTGCTTGCGAGGAGGGCGAGCAGTGGGAGCGAGCTCTGGCTTGTCTGAGCGAGGCGTGGGAGGCGACGGTGGAGCTGACCACCGTCAGCTACAACGGTGCGATGGGCTCGTGCGGGGAAGGCGAGCAGTGGCAGCAGGCTCTGTCGCTGCTCAGGGAGATGCGGCAAGTGAAGCTGGAGGCGGATGTTGTCAGCTACAACATTGGGATCACCGTGTGCGAGAATGGCGATCAGTGGCAGCGGGCTCTTGTGATGCTCAGCGAGATGCGCAAGGCGAAGTTGAAGCCTGACCAAGTCAGCTACATTGCCGGAATCGGCGCGTGCGAGAAAGGCGAGCGGTGGCAGCAGGCGCTGTATCTTCTCAGGGAGATGTGGGAGGTGAGGTTGGATCCGAATGCCAAAGGCTACAGCTCTGTGGTCGGCGCGTGCGAGAAAAACGAGCAGTGGCGGTGGACTCTGTCCTTGCTCAGCGAGATGCGGGGTGCGAATGTATATCCCGACGTTATCTGCTATAATGCTGGGATCAGTGCGTACAAGATATGCAGGCGGTGGCAGCGGGCTTTGTCGCTGCTTAGCGAGATGTGGGAGGTGAAGTTAGAGCCCAACGTCATCAGCTACAATGCCGTGATCAGTGCGTGCAATAAATGCAGGGAGTGGCAGCTGGCTCTGGCGCTGGTCGGCGGGATATGGGAGGCAAAGTTCAAGCCCGAGGTAAAGAGCTGCAACATGGCGATGCACGCGTGCAGGATAGGTGAGCAGTGGCAGTGGGCCATGTCGCTGCTCACCGAGATGCGGGGCTTGAAACTGCTTCCCGATGTTATCAGCTACAGTACCGGGATCAGCGCATGCGAGAATGGTGGTCATTGGCAGCAGGCCTTGGCGCTGCTCAGCGAGATGAGGGAGGCTAAGGTCGAGCCCAACACCTTCAGCTATACCGCCGGGATCAGCGCTTGCGATAAAGCCGAGCAGAATGATGCGATCAGCGTGCGTGAGAAATCCGAGCAGTGGCATCGGGCTTAGTGACATACCGAGCTGTCTCCAAACCAAAAAATGTAGGAGAGGAGAAGTTCGAGCTTGAATGTATCTGCCAACGAGCTCGACATAATGATTCGACGGTCGGTAAGAGGAGGAGTTCTCGTAGCTCTGTGGCCAGTGCGGTTCACACTGCGGGGGCGGAGCGCTCTGCGAGGTGGAGCGCAAGAGCAGTGCTTGCCATCGCCAGTCTACACGCTCAGCCATTACGACAGATGTAGTGCGTGCGAGAGAGGTGGACAGCGGCAGCAGGCCCGAGGGCTGCCCAGCGAAATGTCTGGAGGCCCCCGTGCCCATTCACAGTGTTGCGACCAGCGACGGCGAGACGCGCGCGCGGGGGCAGCAGGCAGGTGGCGCTGCTCGGCGAGACGAGGACTGCGAAGCTGGAGCCCGACGTCATCAGCTGCCACTCTGGGACATGAGGCCCAGCCAGCATGGCAAGGTTTTAGATGCTAGCGGAACTGCGGACCCATGCGTCGTCGACGGACTGGGGCGAGCGGGAAGGGAGGGAAGGGACGGGATGGGGAGCGAGCGGAGGGGGAGGGAGGGGGAAAGGGAGTGGTGGGAGGGAGCTCGCAACGGAGATGAATGGATGGAGGGTAGAAGCGGAGAAGAGGGTGGCGAGGCGGGGCACGGGGGGATGGGCCAGGGAAGGGAGTGAGGGGAGTGGCAGCATTACCATGATTAGCGTGGTGTGCCGTTGGCGTCCCCCTTTGGGGGGGTCGTCCCCCTCTTGGTTCCCTCCTCCCTTCTGGAGGGGCCCTGGGGCCCCGGGGGGGAGGCGGGCAGATTCCCAGAGGCGCCTCTCATGCCAGAGCGCCCCAGGCGGGGCAGCGAGGATCTGCCACGCGACCCGCCGCGCGACGCGCCCTTATTGTTCTGCGACCCTTCCCGCGACCCGCCCCTCTTGCCCGCCTCGCCGCGATTGTTCTGATATGCAGAAGAGGGGCAGGAGCACACGGCGAGGCTGTTTCGGCTGTGGTACGACAGTGCGACACTGGGCTATCGTGTGCCCCCAGCCCGCGCCCGCGAGACACCTACCACCCGCGCGCGTCCTTCCCACGACCCGCACGAGTCGGTTCACCTTGGGCCGTAGATGCGAACCCTTTCGCCCGCTTCGCTCTCTCTATCCCAAGCCCCCCCCCAATAATTCTTACACAGGTTTGTTTTCCGCATACGGGAGCGCCGAACATTGTGAAGTGTTCCCCGCGATGTGCCGTGGTCT